TGAGCCCAGTAGGTTGAGGCTGCAGTGAGCCAAGATCACATCACTGTACTCAAACCTGGGTGACAGAGCAATACCCACTTTCTAAAAGAAACAAAGAAGAGCAAGAGAAAGAAAGAGAGAGAGAAAGAAGGAAGGAGGGAAGGAGGGAAGGAAGGAAGAAAGGAAGGAAGGAAGGAAGGAAGGAAGGAAGGAAGGAAGGAAGGAAGGAAGGAAGGAAGGAAGGAAGGAAAGAAGGGAGGGAGGGAGGGAGGGAGGGAGGAAGGGAGGGAGGGAGGAAAGGAAGGGAAAGGAAGGAAAGGAAAGAAAAGGAAGAAGGAAGGAAGGAGGGAAGGAAGGAAGGAAGGAAGAAAGGAAGGAAGGAAAAGAAAGAAAAAAGAAAAAAGAAAGAAAGAAAGAGGGAAGGAGTCTCTGTGCTAGACATTTCTCATTTAATCACTAAAAAACATAGGCAGTAAGGTAGCTGCCTCAAGTTGGATTCCTCAGAAGCTGACCCTTGGACGCAGGAGAGGGAAGTGTAAGATGGAGATCAAGGTCTGTTTTCCAAGTAAAGTCTCTGCCTGGGCTGAAGGATTCTAGGGTGTAAATTACACATTGAAGTTTGTCTCTATTTGAGGTTAGGGAATTAGGCTGTCATACTCCTGCACCAGTCAGTAGCCCAGCAGCAGTTCCCCAAAGCAATGACACCGGTATAGACTAGTCAAGCAAATAACAGAGCGGTTCCCTACACAAAAATGATAAAGGAGGCCCAGGGAATCAGGGCAGAGCTTTACCCATGCTCTACAGCATTCATATCCCCAATTTACATAGGAGAAAATCCGACATCAGAGAGGTCAAGTACTTCATTAAAGGTAACTATTTAAGGGGCAGAGCTTGGATACAAACCCAGACAGGTTTGACTCCACACTTCATGCTCACTCTTCTCCACTAAATGTACCCCCCTTTCCTGACCATAAGTTATATATTCAGGGATATATTCTGTATTTATATAAATAGACATTATTACCTATCTTCCTGAGGCAGAAGATTCTATCAGGAATTGTAGTGAAACATTACATTTGGGGATCTCCAGAAGATCATTGCCTAAAATCACTGTAATGCAAGCTACATTTACAATTTAAAATTTACTAGTGCTCTCAACAAAAAGGAAAATAAATACAAGAAATTAAATTCAATAATATATTTTATTTTATCCAACATATCCAAAATATTATTTCAACATATAATCAATATTTTAAAATTTAAAATATTTTTTATACAATGTATTTTTGTTTCCTTTCCACTTGTAGAATGTCTCAGCTTGTTTGTGAAATATTTATCAAAAATATTGCCAGGCATGGTGGCTCACAGCTGTCAGCCCAGCGGAGGCCAAGGTAGGCAGATTACCTGAAGTAAGGAGTTGGAGACCAGCCTGGCCAACAGGCATAGTGGTGCATGCCTATAATCCCAGCTATGCAGGAAACTGAGGGGGAGAATCACTTGTACCAAGGAGGCAGTGGTTGCAGCAAGCAGAGAGCACACCACTGCACTCCAGCCTGGGCAACAGGAGACAGACTCCATCTCAAAAAAATAAATAAATAAATACTTGATGTGAATTTAGATTATGTACAATATACAGCTGAAAAAGTAGATTCACATAGCCAAGTTAATCCAAGTACTCTTAAAACTTTCTATAACTAAATCAAGTATCATTTTTTAAATTTTAAAATATTAAAATTCAACACTAAAAAATGAGTTCCTCAGTCACACTAGTCACATTTCAAATGCTCAATAGTTTTACAAGGCTGGTGGCTACCACACTGAAGAGTGTAGAAAATTTTTCCTATGAAGAGGTGAAAGGATGTGATTCAGTATGCCATCAAGAATCAAACCAGCTAACCAATAGGTAAATATTGTGTGTCTCTCACATGTAGTAGATACAGTGGCAGATAAAGCACCCTTGGCCAAGACTGGTTAGCTACAAGAACTTTGCAACTGGAGTTACATGGAAGGAATATGAATTGGCTGTGTTCTGGATGCCGTGGCTCAAGCCTGTAATCTCAGCACTTTGAGAGGCCAAGGTGGGCAGATCACCTAAGGTCAGGAGTTCAACACCAGCCTGGCCAACATGGTGAACCTCTTCTCTCCTGGAAAAAAAAAAAAAATACAAAAATTAGCCAGGTGGGTGGCGGGAGCCTATAGTCCCAGCTACTTGGGAGGCTGAGGCAGGAGAATTGCTTGAAGCCCAGAGGTGGAGATTGCAATGAGCAAAAATCGCCCCGCTGCACTCCAGCCCCGGGAGCAAGAGTGAGACTCCATCTCAAAAAAAAAAAAAAAAAAAAAAGAGAAAAAAGAAATCTCTGTGTTGCTGCTTTGGATCAGAGCCACTCAGGAAGAAGGTAAAGTTGGCTTTCATTTTCAAAACTCAGTAACACACCCTGGAGGCCTAGTTACCTGGTGCATTTTGTAATCTGGTGAGAATCTCTGCAACAAACCCAAGAGCACTGATAAGTGGTCACTTTAACCCCATAACCTTTCCTGTATACAATGGATAGTGCTAGAAGCCCAGCAAGATACTAGAATATGAAAGCACTAGAAAGAATCTGTCATCCCTCTAAAGGTGCATGCAGGTTTACGCTCAAAAGAAATGAGCACATTTATTTCCAAAAGGCAAGTTCAGAATGTTCATGGTAGAACTATTGTTAGCCAAAAACTAGACATTATTCCAACACAACTCAAGAGTAGAATTCTTTAATAAACAGTGGGACTTTCTGGACTATTCATGCTGTGAAATACCACACAGCAGTGAGAATGAAAAACCTACTGCTATATCTAATAAGAATGAATTTCACAAACATTATAATGAATAATAAAAGCCAAATATAATGAGTAAAAAAAGTCAAAAAAAAAAAAAAACCCAAAATGTAGAATTCTGTTTATACAGAGTTTAAAAACAGGCAAAGTGATGTTTTATTTTAGGAGTCAGGAGTCATTAACCCTGGCAAGGAACAGGGCGGGGAGGTAACGATTAGAAAGCAGCATAACGAGGGCTCCTGAGGTATTGGTGATGCTCTGTTTTGCAATCCGAATGCCAGTTATAGATGTTCACTTAATGAAAATATTTATTGTCTACATACTTTTCTGTATGTGTCATACTTAAAATATATATATATATATATATATATATATATATTTAAGCAATAAATTCATTCATCCATTCATTCACTCCTGTATTAATTCTCCTGAAGATGAACAAAGTTCTCCATTCTAGAACTCTAAAAGTAAGCTAGGCATATAAGAAAGTCAAAGTCATCATTCCATGCTATGACCCCACCTTCTGAAAATTCAAACATCCTTCTTGAAGGCAGAGGAAGGAAAACCAAGCAGATCACAGAGCTGGGGACTCCATGAGGGTAGGAGGCAGTAAAAAAAGAGAACTCTTGTGCTAATTGAGGTTCATTTCCCTGGCCTGGCCTTCCCTCTGCCTAATGAAATACTAACCTCCTTTAAGTTCCATTCATGACGACTTCTTCTCAGACAAAAATTACATGGTCTTCTTCTAAATTTTTAGGACATTTGTCTGTGCTATTCACAGTTTATTCTCATGCATTATAATAATTTCTAGAAGGCAGTACAATGTTGTGTTTAAAAGTTTGGACTGTGGAGTCAACCAGAGTTCAAGACCTTCTTCTATCACTAGCTTTGTGACCTGGCGCAAATTGCTTAATAACTATGCATTTGTTTCCTCAGTTGTAAAATGAAGGCGATAATAACTGGACCTATCCAATAGGCTGTTATGGAGATGAAAAGAGATAATGGATACAGCTGCTGGAAATCAGGAAAATCTCAGTAAATGTTTCCTATTATTATTATTAAGTACTGTCTCCTCTCGCAGATAAGTTCCTGAAGAATATGGAACATGACTCAGGACTTATAGTGAATAAACTCATTACAGACATCTCACATTGGCTGGCCTTACCTGTAGTCATGTTCTTTTCCTCATACACGAGCTTAAACTTCTCCAGAACAGGTGCTACAATTTATTCATTGTAATATTCCTCACACTGCACAATACGTGGTTTTAGGCTACATAGATGGGTTATAATCTCATTTTATTAATGAGTTGAATCCACTGAGGAAGGGTTGCTCTTTCTCATTTGGCAATGCTCAAAGCAAACCAAGGAGAACGTCTATAAACTCCCCCAATGAATTCTCTTACCTCTAGGGTGACCAGCCATTCTAGTTCATGCAGGGCTGTCCTGGTTTGGGCACTGAAAGTCCCATGATTCCAGAAACCCCTCAGTCCAAGACAAACCAGAATTGTTGATCTCCCTACCTGCCTCTGTGCCCCTAAACTGAGGCTAGCTTGTTTTGTTTGTTTGTTTGTTTGAGATGGAGTCTCACTCTTGTTGCCCAGGCTGGAGTGTAATGGCATGATCTCAGCTCACTGCAACCTCTGCCTCCCAGGTTCAAGCGATTCTCCCGCCTCAGCCTCCTGAGTAGCTGGAATTACAGGCACCTGCCACCATGCCTGTCTAATTTTTATATTTTTAGTAGAGAAGGGTTTTCACCATGTTGGCCAGGCTGGTCTCGAACTCCTGACCTCAGGCAATCCGCCCACCTCCGCCTCCCAAAGTGCTGGGATTACAGGCATGAGCCACTACACCTGGCCACTTGTTGTTTTTATTGATGAATTATCCTTGCTCCTATCTAAAGCCAAGTCTTCATTCGGGTTGGCATTTTCTCTACTTATTCAAGTACTGGGCTCTTGAAATTCTCCTTTCTCTTTCCTGTATCATCAATCATTTTCCTTCTCATGAACCACTTCTATTAGCATACAAGCATGCTATAACTTTTCCTATTAAATAATACTTTTAAGAGGTCAGGTATGGTGGCTCTCGCCTGTAATCCCAGCACTTTGGGAGGCTGAGGTGGGCAGATCGCTTGAGCTCAGGAGTTCAGGACCAGCCTAGGCAACAAAGTGAGACCCTATCTCTATTTAAAAAAAAAAAAAAATAGCCAGGCGTGGTGGCTTGTGCCTGTAGTCCCAGCTACTCAGGAGGCTGAGGTGGGAAGATGGCTTGAGCCTGGGAGGCAGAGGTTGCAGTGAGCTGAGATCACACTACTGCACTCTAGACTGAGCTACAGAGCCAGACTTAAAAAAAAAAAAAAAAAGTCTTAAAAATTACAAACATCTGAACTTGTTTCTAGACATAGGCTGGAAAAAAAAAAGTTAAAAACAATGAAATTTCTCAAGCCTACATGTCCCTCAATCTACCACCCAATTCTTGGCTCCCCTTTATAACAAAAATCCTTGAATGAATTGTCTATACACAGTCTCCACTTCCAATTCCCTTTTTCTCATTATTTGTTGAACTACTTCAATGAGGTTTTTATCCCCAACTCTCCACAGAAATAGGTCCTGTCACAATTTGCTGATTATCTTGAATTTTCCTAGACTATGGAATTATGAGAAATAAACATCTATTGTAATAAACCATTGCATTTTGTTGTTATTGTTTGAATCAGAGAAGTCAATCTTAGCTTAAGTAATAGAATTCAGAACATTCATATTTATATATCTTTAATTTATATGTTTGCCAGCACTTCACATTTGTATTGCAGTCTACTGTACAACCAATGGAATGTACAGTATGCATCTCACACTTAACATGAAAATATTCAACTTGTGATTTCCTCACCTAAGTAGCCTTCTGTGTCAGAAAATGTTTCACCCTTCTTCCTGCTTGGAGCTTGGGCCATGGAGTTATCCCTGATACCTCTCTTGTTCCCATATTCCACATCCAATCCACCAGGAAAGGCCATTATCATCCCTCACCAGATTATTACTATAGCTTTCTGACTGGTCTTGCTGCTTCCTGCCTGGCCCTGTCATATTCTATTCCCAACACAGGAACCACAACAATCCTCTAAGAATACAGGTCAGTGTAAGTCACTGTTTTGCACAAAACTTCCACCAGGCTTCTCCTCTCATTCAGAGTCAAATCCAGAGCGCTGACCTTGACCTACACTGCCAGATGCTTTGTTCTGTTACCTGTCTAATGCCATGTCCAGCTTCCTCCCTCCTCCTTCACTCCCCCAGCCAAGCGGGTCTCCTTGGTCTTCCTTAAACATCACAGCCACTCCCTGCTCAGAAAACTCCACACTCAGGGACCAAGCACTGGCTGTTCCTCACACTCAGAAGTCTCTCCCGCAGAGAATGACATGACTCACTTCTACACGTTTTCAGTCTCTCCTCAAATTTTAAATTTTATTTTGCATTTTAAATCATTATTTTATTGATCTAAGAAATATATTCCATGCAATAGACACTGTGTTGGAAACTTGAACATGAATATGAAATGGTCTCTGCCCTCAAGAACCGGCTAAATTGGAGTAGAGAATGGGCTTTCCAGGAAGGTTTCCTAGAAGAAGCAGGCCTGGAAATGAACCTCGATGAAAAAAAAAAAAAAAAAGAATTAATTGGGAGTGGGAAGGGAGGGGTGGTAAGGCAAGTGCCTCTTAGGGAGAAGGCAATTGAGTACTGTATACCCGTTAATGTGACAGAGTATGACATATTAGGAGGCTGCAAGATTAGCCTTATCTGTCCTCAGAACCTGGTCATGTGCTACGGCATGAGCACTAGAGATAACTCACTGAGCCGCAAGGGTTGGGAGGAAGAGGAGAGAAACAACCTAGAGACAAGTCTGACGTCAGACTGCTTCCAGGGTGGTGCAAGAGAGGAAGCCAAGAGCAGCTCACAGATATGGAAACTGCAGAGCACTGCTAATGACAAGCAGGGACACTCAGATAAGCAATTACGTTGAGAAGCCCATTAGGAAGAAGGAAAGATGGCTCAACATAAGAGCAGAATTCAGGAACATGAATTTTTTGGAGATGTAAGATTCAGAGACCATAATACTCTGTTACACTGACAATAATACTCTGTTACACTCTGTTACCCTCAGTTAATTTTTTTCTGGTATTCATACCCTTGCAAAGCCTCTCCCTGGAATCTAGTCTGACCCTGTGACTTGTTTTAACCCAGTGGTTCTCAACCAGGGGAGATTATGTTCTCCAGGGGACATTTGGCAATGTCTGGAAACACATTTATTTGCCCCAAATAGGGAATGTGGGGAAAGGATGCTACTAGCATTTTTACTCTACTAGTGGGTAGCAGCCAGGGATGCTGCTTAACATTCTACAATGCATAGTACAGTCCCCCACAACAACAAATAAAATTATCTTGCCAAAAATGTCAATAGTGTCAAGGTTGAAAAGCCAATAGAATATGCAGCCTAAGCTTTAAGACCTTATGCCTTTAAAAGGACTAAGCTTTAAAAAGCCTAGAAGCTTCCACTTTTGCACTCCTGAAAGGAGGGTAGCCAGACTTTTTACATGGCAGCTCAGGGTTGCCTAGAGCCACCAAATGAGAGGCCATGTGGAAAGGGAGCAGTCTGAAGGCTGGGTACTTGGAGCAGTGCCAAGAACACAGTCAATGGAAAGAACCAAGGTGCCAGATGTACCATTCCAGGCAAGCTCTTCCAGCCTGTCTACAACCATTTGCACTGTCTTTGCTGAGGTGACAGACATGAACCAGGAAACTATCGTGGATGTTTCAGCATGTGCAGACATCACAGAGAGCAGGGACAAGTTGTCCCTGCTGAGTGCTGCCCAAATGGAAGAGTCATGAGCAAGTAAATAAAGTGTTGATTTAAGTCAAGATGTTTTGGAATGGTTTATTGCACAGCAATAGGTAGATGAAACAATAGTCAACATAATAGGCATGTTTCTAAGCACATACTAATGACATCCTTATGAAATAAGATCTGTTATCTATCACTGCCACTATGAGTGGCACTATAACTTTAGCTATGAAAAAGTTAGGTACATGAGTACAGAGAAGTTAAGTACCCACACAAGATTAACACTACTAGGAATAGAGTTTGGCTTTGATCCCAGATAGCCTGACATCAGAAACTGTATCTTAACATACACCCTGTCTAGTCATTCATTCATTCAAAAATATATATGGAGAACCTACCATGTGCCAGGCACTATTCCATGTACATGGGATACAGCAGGGACTAAAACAGACAAAAATTCCTGGTCTTACAAACTTTAACTTCTAGTCAAGGTAACCACCCCAGGGCTTTATTTTGCTTGCTGCTCAGGTAGAGCTGATTTATCAAGACAGGGAGATAGGAATAGAGAAAGAGTTTAATATATGTAGAGCTGGCTAAATAGGAGCTTTATTATTACTCAAATCAGCCAGGTTTTTTTAAGGATAGATAAGCAGGCAGAGGGTGGGGGAATGGATGCTGCTGAGTGGTTGGGGATGCAATTATAGGTGAGTGGAAAATAGCCCTTGTGTGCTGAGTCCTCTTCTAGGAAGGGGTCACAAGGCCAATTGAGTCAAGAGTCCCAGGTCAAGGTGGAGTTGTTCAGGCCACAGTAATGGAAAAGTCTAAAAAGGCACTTTAGGCTTTTTTTTTTTTTTTTTTTTTTTTTTTCAGCATGTATGTTATTGTATGAATCTGAAGGGAAATGTAACAATTTTTGGAGTAGTGTTTTTTTTTTTTTGACACAGAGTCTCACACTGTTGCTCATGCTGGAGTGCAATGGTGTAATCTTGGCTCACTTCAGCCTTGACCTTCCGGGCTCAAGCAATAAAGGCCAATCTTAGGTTTTATAATGTTATTTGCAAGAGTAATTGGGGAAGTTATAAATCTTGTGATTCCAGAACAATGAATGGTTGTTGTTTAACTATGCTTACATCTTAGCAGAATTCAGGTCCCTATCATAATCCTAAACTTGCAGACTTTTATTAGTTTTCTAAAGATGATTTAGTTTTGGGAAGGGCTATTATCATCTTTGATTTAAGGTTAAACTATAAACTAAATTTCTCCCAAAGTTAGCTTGGCCCATGCCCAGGAATGACCAAGGGCAGTTTGGAGGTTAAATGTAAGATGGGGACGGGTGCGGTGGCTCATGCCTGTAATCCCAGCACTTTGGAAGGCTAAGGCAGGTGGATCACAAGTCAGGAGTTTGAGACCAGCCTGACCAACATGATGAAACCCCATCTCTACCAAAAATACAAAAATTAGCCAGGTGTGGTGGCATGTGCCTGTAATCTTAGCAACTCAGGAGGCTGAGGCAGGAGAATCATTTGAACCCGGGAGGCAGAGGTTGCAGTGAGCCGAGATCATGTCACTGCACTCTAGCCTGGGCAACAGAGTGAGACTCCATCTCAAAAAATTAAATAAATAAGGTAAGATGGAGTTGGTTAGGTCAGACTTTTTAAAAACTATTTTTAAAGGATTGTTAGAGTCACATGAACTAAAACACATCAAAGGTTTTTTTTTTTTTTTTTTTTGACAAAACATCTGATTTACATGCTTTTTTTTAAAGCTAATTACTTAGAGCTCTTTTATATGTTTTGGTAGTGAAACATTACTCACATGACACATATGCACAGACAGAAGCACATCTGTCTGTGCTGCCTACATGTTATGAGATTTCCATTTAACAGTTTTAAAGTTTTTTTATTTTTATTTTTATTTTTTCATTTTAAACCATCAGTCTCTTGATTACCTGTTCACTGCTCTAATAATTGTCAGCCAGGCAGTTCCAAATTTATATTTTAAAGGGATAATTCTTAGGTGAAACAAAATAGTGAATTAATATTTTATTTAAACCAGGGGAAAATTGTGTGGGTAAAGTTTATTCAAGATGGCCAAAAAAAGTAGACACTCTGACACGTGGAGTTTTCCTTAAAGATGTAAATTTCCTCTTTGGATTTCAGCTTCAGGATGGAGACTCTTAAGGAACAGGGATAGGAAAGTATGTGGTTCCTAGGGTCTAATAAGCAGGCATTGCTGGAAGGCACAACAGATCCCCAAACTCAAGGATCTAATTTTACACCAAATTCTGGGTCCCCAAAAGAATGAAACACTATGGGATGAGAGTGTAATACTTTCATAGGGAATTTTTTTTTTTTTTTTTTTTGAAACGGAGTTTCGCTCTTGTTACCCAGGCTGGAGTGCAATGGCGCGATCTTGGCTCACC